TCCGGAAAACGGAAATCACCCGACTGGAGCGCTAGGGTCTTCAAATTGAGGCGCAATTTTTTTATCAGGCTGTTGTCTGACTCCCTTTCATCTGATGTGCTCGCTCGTCTCACACTTTATATCTCACTGCCTTAAAGGACGAATTGACGATGAAAAAGGAACCCATTTCAAATTAACCTAGGAATGTTGTGTACAGAAGGAAGAGCAACCATGAGAAACGGCCCAGAACCCGAGAAATGGGATAACGCCCTTCCTTGCCCGTTTTGAGCATTGATGCGACTCTCATCGCTGTGCCCTCTTCAACACTACGCTCTCTCAGCTATCTAATCACTCGCCACGTATTGAACTACGGCGAGTGATCAGATGATCGGTGGGCGGAGATCGCCGGACCCGCCAGCTTTGAGGCATGATAGGTCGCCGAGGTCAAATTTTTCCATGCGAATTGCGCGTCAGTTCGCACCCTCAGGAGGTCCGTGGGTCCCTCAACTAGGTCAGTTTCCCTTTCTTCGACCTTCATTCTAATCGTGAATTCCTCCTTTAACACAGCCGATTACTAAGGTTAACGAGATCTTAACCTGAGCGTTTTTTTTTTGACGATTCACTTACTTTCATTACTGCTGACCCATTTGTAACCAATATTCGCATTCGTGCGCAAGAAAGAGGCATGCCCTCAAAGATCGTACCTCTTGGTATGCTATCCCGAGGGAGATGTCGTGTAATCAATGTGAAGAGCGATTAGCGATGACTCAAACCAGTGGGGGTTAAGCATGAATTTAACGGTGGAGTCGCAAACGCTTCTACAAGTAGTTCACCATTGATGAAAGGAGAGGGGCTTCAACAGTCAACATCATTCTGTACAAACGCTTCACCGCCGCTTCCGGGACTGTCACCCAGAATGGGCACATGGGAGTAAAAGCCGATGACCAGCACCTACATAACGTACTGCTAAAGGTGTAGTTTTCATAAATCGAGCATGAGGAAACAGAGCGATGCAGACTGACTGTTTCAACGGTTCAACTGGTTGACCTGCACCTGAACCTAACGATGTGTTCATAGGAAACTTACTGGTTCCTACACCCCACTCACCCAATGAAATGGACATTAAACCATTTTAATTTTCATCAAGTGCTTCAGCGAGGGAAAAGGGCGGGTTATATCGCTCCAACCTTGGGTAGTGGAGCGTCTTGCTCTGGTAGAATAATAGTCAAAATTAAATGACTGTAAATTGGCAAGAATGATATAAAATATTACGAGGAAGAAAGGAATAGGACTCAAAGGACAAATAATTGAATGGCAAAGAGTACAATGGGCAAACCGCCAAGAAAAGACTGGTTTACAAATCGGGAGGGAGGTGAAGATCTGTTATATTCAACCAGCGGCATTCACTTTTTCCCAGTTACAGTCCAATCTCTTCTTACAGTTCAATCTCTACAGCACACAGTCCTCTCGTTGTTGCTTACGTTGAGTAGTGGTAATGGTATCATCAGTAACAGTTCCAGTCAATCACTCTGTTCGTCATCCTCCAGTTGCAGGTCTTCAGATGAACTTCCATACTGAGCAAACTAAAAAAGAAAAGAGATTTGATAAATCATCGACGTCAAGTCCACTTTTCTAGCTCAATTCTGAGAAAAAGAGGGGATTTTTCACTCGTGCGACGGTAGCACATTCATATTACTAAACGCAATTTTCACCGGACATACTATTAGGTGTTTCAGAAAGTTCTGTCGTTTTCTGACATTCCACTTTTGGATGCTTTATTTCCCTTGAAATCTAGGAAAGCTGCAATTGATGTTGATGTCATTTTGAAGAACTTTTCCAGCTCTATCCAATGCTCAGCACAACTTTATCCTAAAATATTTTCTTATAGCTTTTTCAAAGCTTTGAATTCAGTATACTCGAGGAGCAAGCTGGCATGACTTTCTTTTTCTAGCTTTAAATAGACCTGAAAGTGGCGGGATCAGTTCAAGATATCAACGATGCTTTGGGCCTAGATTTGCAATAAATGTGCTCAGAAGCAGTAGTTAAAAAATTTATTGTAAGGAAGGCGAGAGCCTTGAATATGATGAGAGTAGTGGTCGGACATCGGACGGTGTCTCCGATTAGCCAAAAGTTCTGATTGAAGCACTTGTGCGTAAGACCATAGAGGAGGTTCTGCCCAACGTGGGCGTATATGGTTTGTACAGCCAAGCTATACGGAAGAAGCTGGAAAGTCTAAAAAATTCGATAGTGGCGTGCCGCGACAAATCACCAATTTGAAGCATCGTCCATCAAATTGTCGCTGGTTTTATGTGGTGAAAGCGACTCGTTTCTCTACAGATTTGCGACGTACAATAAAGAGCGGATTCTTCTCTATAGTCTACGAAAGTTTGCTGAATAGATCGACGGCGATGAAGCTCTACAAACTTTGCAGAATTTAAACTGTGCTGGAGGAGGGTTGTGGCAGCTTTCATGGGGCCAGCGGCTGGCCATGTTCTTCAGTATCAGATGGAACTGTTACAGTGGAGAATCAATCTTTATACTAATTCAAAAATCATCAAAAACTCTAGGACATGGGTCCAGCATTCCTCATTATAAAGGAACACACACATCCCTGAAAGGTGTCTTGAACGCACATCGCACGGCCAACCCTTCACAAGTTGTACCAGCTGAACTTCAGAGTGGTTCTGCGAACATCTTACTTAGTAGACCCTTGAACTATCTACTGTCAAACTTCTGACGATCTCGATAGCTTCCTTGAAGAGAAATACATCAAAAACCAACATGATGCTAAAACGACCTTCCCTCAGTTCATCGCCTCCAGAGGTCCAGCATTCCAAATAAACGTACCCTGTTGAACGGTTTCTTATAGAACAAGATTCGCGCGCTTTCAAATGGTTTTTTAATCAACTCGAAAGGTTTAGCCCAAGCCGAGATACGTGCATTTAAAATTAGGGGCTGGAAAACGACAGAACTTTCTGAAACACCTAATATATATTTGTGACTACGACCAAGCGTACAGAGTATTGCGAAGTTATACCTATAACCCTTTGGCGACAATGGCACCCACCGGTGGGTGCCACTATGACCGTCGCGTGGGACAATGGCACCCAATGGTGGGTGCCACCCTAAAATTTTCTTCTTACCCATTTAAAACATTTTCAACATATCAGTAATTATAAGCAAGCTCCGTTACGCCTATGTTTAGCATATTTTGCAGAAATGTTTGTTACTAGCTAATTTATATGAAGTTTTAGGATATGGCACTTCGCTCGGCGATGTATTAACTAGTGTTTTACATTATTAAGCTTAAGGTGAATTACAGATCAGGACCTCTACGTCTTTTTACAGTCTTAAGACACAAGAAGGAGTTGAACTATATCAAAAATTCTACTGTACATTTGAATTTCTGGAGTTTTCAAACACCATCCCTTTGAAATCCGAGATTTCTTTCCAAACTTCCACTTCTAATTCCAACAATACATGATCATAAAGCTTAAGACTGCAGTCATATTTTATTTATTGTCATAGTCAAAATTTTGATAGAAAAACTGCTTTTAGGGACAATTTTGCTCCATTTTGTGCGACAGTTGGCGCGCCAAAAAGAGGTGGGGTCCCACGAGCACGCTGCACGCAAATCTGCATTGTCGTCAAAGGGTTAATCTATCGGTGTACAACCTACTCGCTTGAGGACTGTGTGGCGGTTTGAAGGGATATTTGTTACTTCAGAAGTGAGTCACTATGTATCCTCAGTCACTGGTTTAGATTCATTACTGAGGATCCATAGTGACTAACTTCTGAAGTAATAAATATTCCTTCAAACCGCCACACAATGTTGACTACATTCACTGGAGCGCACACATCCACCAAGAGGAGTCTTGGCTTAGTTGGTGTTACTCCGATCACATTGGACTATTTTCACTGCATTCCAAACTCAACCAAGGCAGTACAGTTGGTCCTGCAGGTGATATCACCATAGTTGATTTGATGGGTAGATACCTACATAAACAAAAGGAAAGACAGCGCTTCGCATACAGCAGTGCTTTAAAGCTTTCAATATCACAACCATTGACTCACATCAGCCTTGCGATTATGGCGATCGTACAACGGAGCAGCCTTGAATGAAAAAATCTTCCTTCCAAGTACGTCGAAGTTGAAATCCTTGTAACATGAGTCACAAAAATACTGTACAGGAGATGGTATACCTTCATGCTCCCATACCACCCACCTAAACTGAGGCGATAATTTGAGAAAATGAGCGGAGTTCCAGCAGAGCATTTGATTCATCGGGGACTCTCGTAATCAGAAACACAAACATACTGGGATCATAACGTTGGGATAGATTGAACTACATAGCACTCGTTTTACACGCAGATTTAACGATCGCTCGGATGGAACTCCGCAGAGTTATTGAGTTGATTAGAAAGAATGTATGAGTTCGAAAAAACTCAACAAATAAGTAATAAATATATATAGGTTTCACAAACACTCACTCGGCAGTAACCTCCTTGCAACCAGCACAAGCGATGCGGCGAGAGTTGCGCTCAAAAATTGGCGACGGGTACGGACCTTTTGGATGGCATTTGTCTCTAAATGAAATACTGGGTACTCATATCAAAATGGCAAGAACCATTAGATGTCACCTAACTTAGCTGCACACGATGCCGCAGCTAAAAGCTGCCTAATAACATTATGTAAAATTCTTTGTTATACACTGTTAATGGCAAGCGATCAGTGAGAGCCAAACTGCCAACGGATTAATCTCCAACGGTGAAGAAGAAGGCGACTTTCTGAGTGGTCAAAAATTGTCCTCGATAGATCCTCGACGCAAATATCTCCTCAACTAAGGAATTTGGAAAAAAGCTAAACAGACTACAGGAAGCGCAAATCTTCCGCTTTAAAAACTGTCTTCATTTTTCAAGCTCTCACAAAATTGGGAGGATATTGGGGCAGTAGCAAGTTCAAGTGGCAAAAACTCGCATGAAAATTTCAGCGCACTCAATGCTGACTCGACGCAGTTCGAGAATCCTATCTCTTCGAGTGGAAGGCCTTCAATACTGGTTGGTAACAAGAAACCTAGCTCTATCCAACCCTACCACATATTGCTTAAAGGTTACGAAATGAGGGAATGGTAGAGCTTTTCAGCGAGGGTTTAGATTTCCATCGTTTAGAGCAGGGTTGCAGCAAATCTGCCCAGGGATATCGCACTGAATCGGCCGACGTTCTCTGAATTTTACTTTCGCATTGCTCGGGAAAGGGGGGACGTATCAAGACCCCGATTTTAGGTGTGTCGTACTGCTACCGTCCTCGACATAATTTTCACCCTGCTTGTGACCCATCGTCAACGATAAGGACAAAAGGAACGAAAAAACTGCATTTCTTTTGGTAAGGCATTCGATAAGCCAAAAGAACTGCTGCGCGTTCAAATTCCCGCCGGACCTGTCACAAATCTGTCACAAATGCTGGCGACTTAATGCTTCCCCTTGGTACACGTAGACCTATCATGAGTAACCTTGACTCACTGCCTAACATCTCACATTTCTATTGCATCATAGGGCGAAATGGTGCCCGGTAGGGTAACTTGTAAGCCTGGGGCGGGTGTTTCCTTTATAACCAAGTACTCCTGTGAAACATTGTAATGAGATGCCTTGATCCAGATGGCCGTCATACACTATGTTTTACCTACCTATTCACTATGCTTTTTTGTTTTACTATGTTTTTATAATTATTAAGATACACTTGTGCTACCTCGAACAGAAAAGATATTACTGCATGCCGAAATCCACACTGATATAATTGTATTCTGTCACATATTATGGTGCTTTCAGTGCAGTGATGTGAGTCAAAAGAAACCTACCGAAGCGCTAAATTATTGAAGGAGATTAGATGTTCACATGCTCCAGCGTGGACATATAGGTATGGTGCTCCAAGACGACATTTTAGGTCAACAATCCTGAATTAACTCTATTGATCGAATTTTTCTTTACTAGGGCAATATGATCATAACGAGGTCCAATCATAGGTAAACTTATAAAAGTATTTCTAAAGAACAAAGTTTTACGGTTTTGCAACTCTAGCTGAATACTATGCTCTTCCATGTTTCCAATACGTGTTTCACGTAGGACACCAGCTACCTTCTAAATAGCTGATTAAGCTAAACTGTGGTCGTCACGACAGCACCAATTAAGCAGCTCCCAATAGAGCATCCTCTTGCACTCCCATCAACATCACACTAGAGCCTTATTTCCATGAAGCTGTGCTTCTTCGTAGGTGACTGAAAGGAATCCTAGTCTTGCTTACGTGCATGGTTCATGTGAAGCATACAGCGCTCTCAGAAAGTCACTATAACCCCTAAAAAGGATAGCGGCGCTCCGATGTGGTCGAAGCTACGAGCAATCGGTTCTTTTTATCGGATTGGCCTGATTCGTGTGATATCTATCGCAAGAATATTGACCAAAAGCCGTAAAGGTGGTGCTGAGAACCGTCGCATTGGTATAACCTAACGTTGTCGCCAGCTGGCTGCATTCGTATGCACCTCCAGAGCACTGAAGTAAACGTTCCTATTTCCATCTGATAAGGTTCAGAGCGTTGCTTAGCTCGAATGAAATATCTCTGGTTGTGAACCGCTTACACACATGGGACAGCGTGAAATAGTGAACGACATCCCTGAATACACTCCCGAAGTTAGTCACAGCTGCTCATGCAGAGTGGACCTGCAGGAACTTTTAGAAGCGTGCTCTATGCGTCCTTCACTGACGGGTCTTCGCACCAGTGCTTTCATTGTTTGATCCTGAGGAATGCCTCAGGATCAAACAATTTCGAGAGAATTTCCGAATTTCGAGAAGAAGAGGCATTTTTTCCTCTTCTCGTTGTCCTTTTTGTTTTTGCTTAGTAACTTACATGACAAGCGGGTCGGCTAGAAATTGAAGCGGCTTTCAAAAATGCTGTTCTGGATGTCTTGGTGGAAACAAGAGCAGCACAGCACAAGATGCATGATGGAGTTAAACATTCCCAAAGCGTCCTGAGGGACGACGAAAAGGTGGGAATTGATTGAGGTGTGGCAATTCAAAGGCGTAAATGACGCAAAACTCGATCAGAACCCTGGAAAGCACATACACAAGGTGGAAATTTGTGAACTTTTCTGCTTGAAATATCTAATCCAGATTTTGCAAGGGAAGGCTGCAAGGATAGCGGCGCGTCTAGCCTATCTTCACAGAAAGGATCCGACCAGTTGTAAACGTACCATAAGAAATAACCATAATAAATACCACCATACCGTGCCCACTACTTGTCTCCAACGCTCAGAAAATTTCTCGATGCTCCTTTTCCAAAACCCAGCGGAGTGCGGGTCAAGAAAGGAGGCGACCTCACTTTCGAGTTGGAGTTGATCGTCTAATTATTTCGTCATCAAGATGATGATTGAAGGTCCAGGATAGGTGATAACATTTAGGGCATGACCGGGTGAACACGCTATGTGATGAAAGCGTCCCAGATTCGAGCTCCGGAATCCTTTCCGGTTCATTCCGAAACCTGTGGTACGAGCGCTTTTGACGAGCTGTTCCATCTGCTGCAGTCCTGCAGCGTAGACCTCTTCTTTCACGAAGCACAAAGACTCTGTAGTCGAGCTTCCGTAACAGCCTAGCGTACGTGTAATGGAGAGTAGATCGGAGAAGACGGAGTGCAGGTCGACCAGTCGACGAGCTTTTCCGGACTTCCCTGGATATCTACTGATTGTATCACCTATACCCACTCAGTGCATGAAAGCCTCGAGGATGTCCTCACATTGGTTTGCCATAAATGATTTACGAGTTTTTCAATTAAAAAAATTGAAAGAGAGAGTTGCAGGTCTTTCTTTCCAGCGTAGAAGAAAACTTTCGCTCCAGATACTTATCAAAACCTGTATAATAAACCCACCTCGTAGAATTCATGTCAGCAACCTCTGTTTTGCCTAAGCCTCGTTCTGCAGCCCATGATCGTATCTCACTAAACTGAACGCTTGAAACGTGGAGAGATAAATGAAAAAAAAAGATGTTCAACTAATGTTGGTTCTATCAAATAAAACCCTTCTTGTTATAACATCACACTACTAAAAAACTGCGGGGTACCGAGGCGTGGTATCGCGCAAAAATGAACTCGGATGAGGAAGTTGGTTGGTAGTGAAGGTAAAGAACGAAATCACTGTAAACTCTCAAAACCATATTGCACACTGATGACATACAATGATGGGCCTGTGGTGATCCAAAAACGACCAGGAACCTCACACAACCTTTGTCACCATACTTATGCCCCACCCTGTACTTTCGTCTTTTCGAAAACGATAACCAATATCTAGGCGATAGTGCTCCATTTGAAAGTGAAGGGCTACTAGCTCCGATGGTAACATCGCATGTGCCATAGAATCCCTCTGAAATAAAGGGCACTACTTGTTCGTCGTTGCAATGGCATGGTCACCCTAATTTGCAAAGCAATGATTGCGCTCACAGGTCCTCTCGGCTCCATCTAGATAATAATAATAACTATAACTTGAAATACCTGGTGATGTCTTGAGATCCTTTTGGTTCAAGATCGATGTAAAAAGTGTCATGGAAAAAGAAGTACGAAGAAGGATATCGATTCTTCATGAAAAAAATAAAGCCATTTCAAAAAATATCAAGCGAACGGGAGAGATTACCTTACAGAGGTCTTCATCTGACACAGCTCGTTCGCTGACGTCTTCAAACACATGATTGTCTGATGGGCACTCGATGACATTTTTCAAATCCTTGAGTGTGTTTGAACCAAGAATTAAGACTCGATCAAGAACTTTCAACTGAAACAAATTCATAGCTAATATTTGTAATTCTGTGACGTT